CTTCCGCTTAGGGGCATGATCTGATGACGTAATCAGCACGTGGGTTTGTTTACTTTGATGACATCACTGATCAAAAGTACTGATAATTTTCATCACAAAAAGGTATACACTATATCTACTGAAAGCTTTTAGGTTGATTAATTTCTGTGTACAGAGCTGCGCAGGAGAAACTGATGGCATATGCCCCCAGTTTTCCTTTTGCATGCCAAAACCTTAGGCTTTGTCTATTTTTTTTACAAATTCAAATATTATTCGAATTCTGCAATAACAATTGAGGTGTCTCATAAGCATAAATGACACCTTGTCCCATTTTATTGAATTAATCACCTCAGTATGCAAAACAAAGAAGTTAGCTTACCCCAAATCCCCATAAACACTGCAAACACTAATGTTCCAAAGCTGTCAAATATACAGAGTTTCTGAAAAACATGAAGGGAAAGTGGCTTAACATATAATACAGTATTCTTTAACTCTAGCTCTTCAGTTGTCATTGTAGATTTTATCATTTGGTTGTCATGTGCATATATTCTTTTATTATATTATGCACCTAAGCATCTGCATTCAATCCTTGCTTCCCTGCACTATATGCACAGTGACCGACAACATTCCTTCTTCATTATGGAAATGATTGAATGTTCTCCTGGGGCCCCAGCTGATAGCTGACAGCCATGTCCATCTGCTTGCTTGAGGAAAATATGTAAGCCAGGTAGCCTAAAAGGGTGTGCTGTTTGTTGCTGTATATACAATTCTATCAAAAGATAAGATGCATCCATAAAAATAATGCTGCAGATTAGCTTTTCTAACTGTTGCATTCTTATCATGCAAACAGATGGTCTTCTAGTAGAACACCAATATAATAAGCTTATCATATGGAAACAGGTTTTTTGTGGATCTCACTATTTTAATCATGCTAATTTCTGGTGTAATTTTTTCATATGATAAAATCATAATATTGTAATATGACCCTTTAAAAGAAGAAAATATATTCTTTGAGAATATATGTTCCTTGAGAACAGACCTACAATATAGGTCAACTGTATTGTGAGTAGAAATGTACAGTTTCGAAATTGGAAAATCCAACCTTCCTTAGATAGCAGTATCCACTCAACCCTGGAACCATTAATTGATTGACACCAATCACTTTCTCACATCAAATAACTTTTCAGGATTGATGTGAGGATAAAATGGGAAGATCCCAATCTCAGTTTCTTGGAGGTAAAATGAAACCCAAATAATCTCTTTATAATTTCAATCAGATTTATATATTTGAGCAAATGGCACCAAAAGGAAATTTGTGCTAAAGAAATATGATTTGCGAAAATATATAGCATTAGTACTTAGACTTATATATTCTTTACAGACATCTCTAAGCAGGGTCAGCATATTGCCCCCAACAATTTGGGTCCTCATTTTACCCACCTCAGAAGGATGGAAGGCTGAGTCAACCTTGAGCCTGGTGAGATTTGAGCTGCCAAATTGCAGGCAGCCGGCAGTCAGCAGAAGTAGCCTGCAGTACTGNCCCTCCCCTGATCCTATGTAAGCCGCCCTGAGTCCCCTCAGGGAAAAGGGCGGCCTATAAATGTTAATAAACCCTAAACCCTAAACCCTTTGGGTGAGGAAAACCTGGGAGATTTTCAGATTCGGGTTTTCCCAGATGTGCCAATGTGACATCTCTAATAAAATGCAACTTTGAGGAAATGCCTGCCTCAGAGTCTTACTTCTGTTGGGGGTGTTACTTGGAACCCTGATATCATAATTAGGAGATAAGATCTTTATGCACGAAAAGCATGAATTATAAGGTTACCTCCAAGTGCAGTTATCCTTTGTGAAATATCCATATAAAAAACACCCAACACCAACTATTGCTGCCAGAAGTAACATCCGGGTGTAGAATCCCAGCCAGGCAAAATAGATTCCAATTTTCTCACCATAATATTTCCTATGGACACAACATTCCTTGAATATATAGATGTGTATTTCCTTTATTAATAAAATCAGTTTCTCATATATTCAAGAAGAAAACATTATAATGCACTGTGCTATCCTGATTTTTGTGTTTAAGAATGATTCCAGGATCACTAAAAAGTAATTAAGGTTATTTTTTGTAAATAGCAAAACCTTAATTATTCAAAGATACAATAACTAAATAGGATATTAAAAAAATATTAAAAGAGAATGGGTCAATCTCTGCATGGACACATTGAAGGAAATGATGATTTCCAGAAAGTTATAGAGAGGTTTAATGAATGATGTTGTTGAAAACTAAAGTTTATATTTCCTTTCCTTTCACTTACTTTGTGCCTTAACTTCTTTTGCTTACTGCTTCTTTTTCTATGCTATGCATCAAATGTACCCTCCCCCCAATGGGAATAGCATAATGGATTGTATGCATGTATGCATTCTCATTACACAAAGTAATAGAAACTTGCTCAAAAGGAACAGTATCCTAGATGATCAACTGTTTTCTATCTTGCAACTCTTCTGAATTCAGTTAAGCTGTTTCAAAATTGATTCTGGTGGTGTAACTATTGTCTTATTCAAAGTGGGAGATAAACGTGCCTTTCTTCCTCCATGTCAGGTTCCCCAACCCTTGGGATGAGGCCCACCTCTGGGTCTTGAGGCATTTGAAACGGGGCCATGGGAGTGGCAGGTGAGTGCACGAGTGTGCATACACATCTCCATTTGCATAAATGGAGCTATGTGCACATGCTTGCTCATTGTTTGTGTGGAACCATCCCCTTTCCCCTCCCCGCCACTGGTACGCAAAACCAAAAAGGTTGGGGAACTCTATGGTCTATGCCATGGGAGAAAGAAAAAAAATCCTGATATGGAATCTAAGAGGAAAGAAAGACAAATCAGTCTTTACTACATGCCTTGCTCAAAGTTGAATTCATGAGCAACATCGGAATCAATGCTTTCCTTTTTTGTCTGCTTCTGGGCTGTTTTATGAATATTTGGGGTCTTTTCAAGTGAAAGTGCTTGGCTATAGCAATAGCACTTAGACTTATATACCACTTTGGTGTTTTACAGCAGTCTTTGAGCAGTTTTGTGTGAGCATATTACCCCTAACAGTTTGGTACTCATTTTACTGACCTCGGGAAGATGGAAGGCTGAGTCCCCTTGAGCCAGTCAGGATCAAATTCCTGGCTGTGGGCAGAGTTAGCCTACAATACTGCCTTCTAACCACTGTGCCACCAAGGCTATAGGCTCTACTTTAACTTAGCTGGAAATCTGCGTGGCTTCCATTTCTTTCCATTCAGTCCCTTGGAAAAGTAATTCTCTATTTAATAAGCTGTGATACACAGCAATTACTTGAAATAATAATGGTCATATTTCTTTTATCACTAGGATGATCTTTTCACATCACACACTGTGAATTTCAGTCTGGAAGTTCTATATGAGTCTCATAATAGCAGTTCCACTCAGGTACTGTATCCACCACTATGAACTTTATTTTTCCAAGAACTTTTCAAGAATCCAACATTCTGTATTTAGGAAGATATAATATGATTCATATGGTTTTTTTCTGAAGCTTATGTTTTATAGTCATAGGCAGTCCTTGCTTAACAACTATCCTGTTTAGTGACAATTTGATGTTATGAGTGCTAAAAATATAACTTTAGGACTGCTTCTTGTATTTAGAACTTTTGCAGCATCCTACAGTCATGCCATTTTCATGTTTCACAGACTGAGTCAATGGAGAATTTGGCAATACAATCACAAATCGTGATGAAATGATGTCTCTCTTAATCACAACCTCACTTAACAACCTCAGAAGAAGTGTGGTCATAAGTGCTTCACAGTCATATGAAATCTTACTTAACAACCAACTCTTAGCAATGGGATTGCTGGGCCATTTGTAGTCATTACCACTGAACTTTAAACATATTATTTTAAGACTAGTTCTACTCATAGTGTAATAATAATAATACATATTATTCTCCCAGGCTTTGGAACCAAGTAGAGCTTAGCTGGCCAGAGTCATTGGCAGTTCGATAGCCTACATACTGATTAAATTTTGTAAAGAAACACCTCTTTGCTTTTTCTCACATTTGCCTAATGCAACATTATACATGCTGTTTTCTGTTAAATGATTATTATTCATAGAAAAATAAAATACTCATAAGGAATGGTACAACACTCCTTAATACTTACCTGACAAGATCTAAGGGTTGCAGTTTGAAAATATTTTGAGGATAGGCCCATTCTCTGTAAAGCAGATGCCGTTCATTTGGGCACTTAGGATCCTGTGATTGGTAATTGAATCTTGACTATAAACAAAATATGTTCTCATTAATTGATGATTCAAGGACACAAAATTGTGTTTATTTTAATCACATTTAGCCCTGCAACCAAGCATGAATAATTACTCTGGAGGTTTCTGAAATTACTCTCTCCTATATGCCAGATCAGTATATATTTTATTATTACGGAGGAAACTAGAATCTCCTATATTATTTTTGAAATGCTGCTCAAGAGGCAATGGTGGTCATAATTGCTTTATTTTGTTCCAGTAACAGATTGAGCTAAGATTTATTCATGCAAATCAGTTTAAGGATCAGAAGTGGCACCTTTTGGAGCAGAGAAATTTTCTCTGACAGTTGTTTGTGTTTCTTTGAATAAAGACATGTTTTATTTTTCTGTATAATGTGCAATCTTTTCCAAGCTAAGAATTACTCCTGAATGGAATGGCAGCATCTGCATTGGAAACATTTCTGTCATTGTTCATCTCATTGAAACTTCTTTTCCATGTATTTTCTCCTGGGAACAAATTTTGGTACATTCTATTTTGTCCAGTATTAATAAGGATCAAATATTATTTGCCTGTTGTGCTTTATTATCGTTCTAAAAACTATTATCAGGATTGCCAACAATTATACCATTGAAGACATGCTTCTGTGAATCTATAGGCAGTTGTTATTTGCCACATGAAGGGACAAATTATAGCGCTACAACACTAGCACTAATAATGCTGCCTAGTTTGCGTAATGAAACATCTGCAATAAAACAACCAAGCTCAGAGAGCACCAAGGACCCACATTCAATCCTGAGCTACAAATATTTTTCTTTATTGGGACAAATTACGTAATTAAATGATCAATGCATAAAACTGAAAAATAAATTAAAAATATAGTGTCAGCCTCTGCTTTGCTGCTTGTTTTCGGCTGCCATGAAACGGGGAGGGAGGGCATGGTAATTGGGTGAGGGAAGTAATCTGTACAGGAGGACTTACATGGGGGTTGTTCACACCATTCGTTTGCACATGTGGAAAGAGGGGAGTTTCCCGCCAAGGCCAGCATTCCAACCTGATGATCATTTTTGAAGATGCCTCCCACCTGACAGTTGGGTGAAATACGATTGGACTATGGACTGGGGTACCAAGGGGAGGGGAATGAATCATGTATTGATATCTATTGTTTTCGCGTGCTTTTGCTCAGATCCAGCTTTGCTTAGC